AAGGAAGGAACAAGAACTGAGACAGGTTTTCCTTGATCTTGCTGCTGGACAAATGGAGAAAAATGAGAAAGTGAGTTTTTAATATTAAGACTGTACATGATCCTCCATAGTAAATTTTCATGTATTATTATAATTTATTTATATTGTATTTATTGTAGCTTCAAGGTAAATGGTATGCAATGAAGTGTTTATTGGACACACCAATCAAGCCATCACTTAGAGCAATACAGTTTGTCTCTAATAATAACACAACAACAACAACAACAACAACAACAACAGGAGGAGGAGGAGGTGACAACAAGTGAAAGTAAGGGAGAGAGAGAATAATGGATCCTGAGAAGAGAGAGAGGGAGAGGATGAGATGGTCAAGAGGACATTATGTATTTATCTTCTTTTTGTTTTAGATTGTTCCTCCTTCAAGAAATGATTTGTGAAATGACTATTATAATTATAATGATTTCTATTTAATATTTTAAATGTCAAAAATTGTATGGTTTTATGATTTATAACAAAAAATTAATGTTAAAGTGACAAAAGTGTAATATTAAGTATTGTTTTGCAAAGCATAGATACTATGAGCAAAGTAAGTGATGGAGTAATGCATATGAAAAGGGTAAGAAATAATTATGATGACACTCATGTGCTGGTTATTAATGTATTGTAGCTTACATTTATAAACAGTATGACTGATTAAGCTTATTGTTTTGTAATTTTTGCTTCTATTTTCTCAGCAAGAGCATTTTCTCCTATTTTTCTCAATGAATCTATCAGTTGGCTCCAAGTAGTATTAACTACTTTATCTTTTTTTCTCAACCAAGTAGCTAGCATCTCCATTAGACGACCTTGTACCTTTTTTTCCTCACTTTGAATATTATCTAGTGTTACGTAACTAATACCCAGTTTTAGTCCTAATGTCTTCCATTGATTAAATGAATTTGATAACAATTCAAGCACAGCATCCAAATCATCAATACCTGCAATATTGTTAATAATACTGACAGTAATTATTGTACATTTACTTACTCAGAGTAACATTGAGACAGTCTTGAAGCTGTATTTCATTATTAGATGTACACCCAACTGGCTCATTGTCAATCATTTCAGTATCATCAGTTAATTTCTGTCTCTTATTTGCAGAAATATCTTCACCTATAGTAATAATAAATTATAATGGTTGAATTTATAGGTCAAGCGATGTATTATTCTCACATAACCATTTGTAACATAATGATGGCACAATGGTGAAGTTGACATAAATAATTATACTTGTATCATAGCTTTGTGTTTCTGTAGTGACAGTCATTTTAGATCTTGAGTGATCTTCATTTTGTTTCCTTTTCTTAGTTACTGAGTCAGTTCCTATTTGATTAAAGAATCAGTGAACTGATTGTGTCTCATACCTTGAGATTGTCTTCCTTTATCATCAGTAGGAATTCTCTTACTACTAGAGTAAGATTTGCTATTCTCATCTAAGATAAATATTAATGATAATAATTAAGAATTTGAAATATTATACCAGAGGACTGTCCTTTATTAAATGTGTTTTTGCTGTCACAAGGATCTTCAGAGTCTATCTCAATCCTCTTATTACCAGACATATTTTCTAAAATTTGTAAAAAATACATCACATGCCTCATTTAACACACCTTTTGATAAACAAATATTATGTGCATAGTTTAAACAGAAATAATTGTGGTATTGTACATAAGTTATGTCGCTTGTAATTATCAGATAATAATGATGGATTATATACAGTGTACACTGATTGTGTATCTACCTTGTGCTGCTCTTGATCTTTTGCTTAAATAGGAGCCTTTACTACAATCCTGATTGCTGTCTATGATAGGACAAATAAATAACACATATAAAAAATCAAAGCATTTCAATAGAAGCACATGAAATTGAGTGCTTACCAGTTTGAGGTGGCATTTGGCTGCTTGCATTTTGAATTACATCATTAAGCTTAACAATCTATGTATAGGAACATTCATTTTAATATATCTACAATGGCTAACACTTACCTTACTGGACCAGTATAACTGCTTCTCATTGAGCTCCACCATTTCTCCATTAGCACACGTAGTAGTTTCTTCATTACTGTCAATCACAGCAGGATGAGGTACTCCAGTGCATGTACATAGTACTCCAAACTCATGCTTTGACTTGTAAGTGTAATGGAGTGATTGTGTGACTGTGTCTAGTCCTTTGTGTAATGATGACAATATCTTATCACAAAGATCACTTTTTGACAGTTTTGAGCCTTTTATTTGCTGAACCCAGACTTCAAGGTAAGTAGCATGACTGATTAAGGTAACTATATCATGGTATTTTCCAACTTGAAAGGTAATCTTGTTACGACATTGATCATTACCAGTTAACTTCCATTCCAATACTTGGTCTGTCTTCTGATCAAGAAGATACACTACTAGACAACAGAATACACCAACAGGAGTATACCCACACTCAAAACATATCAATAAAGGAACTGGACTAACTGACCCATTTCTCTCCTCGCTTTCTACATCTGCTGGTTTTAGAGCACAAGGCATAAAGTAATAATTAACAGTTTTTCGATCAACTTTAGTTTTCATAGGACCAGCTACAATATAAAGATGCTTCAGTAGTGTTACTAGTCTCTTTGCATTAAGAGGATCACCTTTCTCTCGTAATGAAATTTTATCTAGCTGTGACTCTGAAAAACGTCCATTTTTACGAAACTCTTTCCTCACAGCAGCACTTTTTAACTGTTCAAAAGTGAAGCATGTTGTGATGAGATTAGTGATACGATCAAACACCAGTTGGAGATTAGTGATAATAATATCCTCCAGACCTGCTACATCAGGATAATGCATGATAATACCCACTCTGTGATGTAAATACCATAAAACATTTTTAAATTCTTCTGTATCCTTGATACCACACTCTTGAGCTAATTGAAAACAAGTATGATAATTGAAAAGCTTTCTTTTACTTTTTCTTAATTTTAAACTAAGAGTA